TCTACCCTTTGAGAGTCTGGTGAAAGCTACATCCCCCAGCCCCAGAAAAATGCACATAAGCACATAAACACAAAATTTTGCATACAGTGTGGTTCACGGAGCCCCTGAAGCCCATCCTTTGAGATCCGTGGACCATGGGTTAAGAACCCCTGCTATAGTGGTTGCGTAAGAAAAGTCAAAAAGAAAAGGAGAGAGGGGGTGTTTTAAATATAGGAGGATGTGTGACTGTTGGTTTCCTAGAAAACGTGGAGGGGGGGCAGCGTGCGGGTAAGAACCTTAACTCTGTTGTCTAAAGCCTGGCGCACATTGCCGAACATTTTCCCAAACAAATGTTCGTCCGAACAAATGGTTTTGTCTGGCAATGTGCGGGTAAAGAATTGCTGAGCGCACATTGCTGAACATTTTGCAGCGAACAACCTCGTGGCGCCGTCTAGTAGCTGTGTTGTAAAGAGTCACGTGATCGGCGCATTATTGGGCACAAAAATCATGTGACCACATATCGTGCTGCTATTGGTTACTACTTTACAAATGTTCCTAGAATTGTTCGACATTCAGCGCACATTGAAGAACATTCGACGAACAATGTTCGAGATATCAAACATTTCCGATCTTCAGAAACATTGTTCGGAACAAATGTTCGGCGACTTTTTTCACCGCACATTGCCGAACATTTCATGGAACATTGCTACGATAATGTTTTTGAGCAAAATGTTCGGCAATGTGCGCCGGGCTTAAGGGTGTACTGTAGGTAGCTATGTGATTGCATGAGGTACCTGTACACCATACTACTGTGTGGGAATGCCACTGAAAGCTACTACGAACAACTTTAATCAATATCTACATGAGACAGTGCACGGCATATACTCTCTGCTACTCTGCACATAAAATTTCATTATAACTGGAACCCAGCTGTGTGCAGGGTTCTGCACTGGTCGTCTGTACAGAATATAGTTCTAAAAATAAGCAGTAGTAATAATACTGGGTGTGAAAGTTTGTCTTCATTATGTGGTACAAGGTCTGGTACCTAGTCTATCAATATCAGTGGAATTATGATAGTTCACATGTTTGAAAATGGACGTTATGTTTGACACAAGTCTTGCAAATTTTGCATCCATCAATAGATGGAAACTTTTCTTGCTATATAGTAAAGGGTGTGAAATTGTGAATTGTAAATTTGAAATAGAAGAAGAGATGAGAGGTATGGAGAGTTTGTAGTGACTGCAGTCTCTGTTGAGTAGATTTCGATTTTATTTAATAAGAAATGTTATTAATACACAGAACTAGTTGATGATAAAATCAACTCAGCTGTGAGTAAATCGGATAGTTAGGTACTACAGGAATCATTGCTGTCATGAATTTTCGACACTGGTTATGTGGGAATGGTTATTTCTAGGATGCAGATTGACCCAATTTAATTATCTGGAAATGGAGGGCATACAAGATAAAACACTCCTAAAAAAGCTGAAAACTGCCCAAGAACTGCGAAATGGCGTATTTTTTTACCTGGGAGACTGGGAATGGACCCCCACCTACCCTGGCCATTACCCCTCTCTTTATTGTGCTGCAACTAATATACATTTCGTATAGCGGTCTAAAAATAATCGTACATAGGACAGGTGCAAGGTTTTAGCAAGTATGATCTCACTGCCAGCATGAACAAGTCATGCATGCAGCTTGCCAGACAGGAAATTTGCTAATACATACATGTACGAGTAACGGATGAAAGGGTTAAATTAACAGTACTGTTAGCTATCGATGATCATTTTACTGAAATCTATGTTTCCGCGGTTTTGTTTTATTTTTGTTAGCGTGGCACAGTCGTACAGGAAGTACAGTTGAAGAAGTCGCCTTGAGTGTACGACGATGTTTCATCATTAGGTGGCACGTAACGTAAACAATCTCTCGGTTTCGCGCTTATTTTAGTTTCAACACACCGCTTTGTCCCTGCATCACACTCACTACGCAAGCATTTCCATCACGTATGTTGTTCAGTTAGAACCACGTAAATGTCAAGCAACAAAAAACGGGGGGAAGGGGGGTAAATCATTGTTTTCTTAATTTTTTTTTATGCAAACCACTCTGTTAATTTACGCATTTATAGTCGTCAACCTTTGGTACGCATTAGTGTTTACAACATAATTACGTAACATTGCATAATAATGCATAACAAATATGAAAATCATAATGAATAAAAAAATTATAAAAAGCATTAGGAAAACATGAACATAATAGGAATAATGTGCGCATCTACTATCGTCAAATCGATATATAATAATGAGCAAAATAAGTATAATTAAATTATAAACTAGAGCGATAGGAGAGCGCAGACCGCCACCAAGTACAGTGATGATGTTATTGTATGAGCGACATAGGGCTCATACATTGACCTGGTTTCACATTGCAGTTCTACGTTTGCTGGTGCTGGTTTCAGTTTCAGTTACAATTGGCAAAACTCGTGATAAAATGTACCTGGTTTGCGTTTCTTATCAATGGCATTGCAGCATTTTGTTAACACCTACAAGCAATATTGCAATGATGAAAATTTTTATTAATTAATTAAATAATTAATTGGATCCGGATCACCACCAAAATGTAATCAATGCTAAGTTACCCTATTTCTGACCTATCCTAAAAATTTCATTAATTAATTAATTAATTAAGTAATTAATTGGATCCGGATCACCACCAATGTGTAATCAGTGCTAAGTTACCCCATTTCTGACCTATCCTGAAAATTTATTAATTAATGAATTGGATCCGGATCACCACCCAAATCTAATCAGTTCTAAGTTAGCCCATTTCAGACCTATCCTGAAAATTTTATGACAATCCGTCCATAACTTTTTCAGTTAGGCTCTACACAAAGAAGCCCACAAACGCACGCTGGTGAAAACATAACCTCTT